ATACTTGGACAATGCTTTATTTTGCTGCCGCAGGCACCTACGCAATTCCCGATCAAACCACGGCAGACCCATGGCATGTGTTCACTGGCGATGGGTTGGTGAGAATTTTCGCATGAGATGATGGATACCATGACGAAACAACTCCCAAGATTCGTCCGCAACCCCAAGCTTCTGGAGATCCCATAATATTCGCGCAGCAGCTTGACTCATCTCCGGAAACGATGAGTACCACACATTTCATCCGACTTGTGGTCTGTCCGTGTGCGGAACGCCATGTCTTTAGTGTATTTGGAGCAGGGAGTAATCGCTGGATGTAGTCGGTGGGATGAGAGCAATCCTGGACACATCTGATGGCCTCGAAGAAATCACCAGGTCATGGGTGACTTTTTGTTCTCCAATTATCCTAGTGTTCTCACGGATAGGCTGAATTAGCGAGAGAACAATTGACGATGAAATTAGGCTCCCTGGAAAACAACCTGCGTGCTGAGGCCATATGTCAGTATCCCAGTCAACATCCGGCACGTTGAACTCTCCCAAGACAAAACAATGCCCGTCACACAGTGTGCCTCTCCATGCTGACCATCAGATCCGGTACGTATACTGTCGGTTTACGGTAGGCCACTCATACTGCGGTGTACCCTCCAGCACAAAGCTTGATTCCGCATCGCGATGTTTCTCCACACACATCCGTGTGAGCATAGGTTTCCCGCACTCAGATGGACATCTCGGACGGCTCAACTCTGCCGCCGTGATGTGACGATGAGAGAACCGTTCGCACAGGGTGTGGCCGTCAAGTTCTATCTCCGAATCTCTGATGTCTGGTGTCAGTCAGGTTTCAGCAATGAAAGAGATTGAGGGTGTTGGATATCAACCAATCTTCCAGTTCATTCTGCTTGCCAATGACCCCTAAAACGTTGGTCAAATCTAGTCCAACGTTATCATCTGGCCCCCTATCCCCCGATCTTATTTCTTCGTCACCGTCTATACAGTCTTTTGTGTCGTCCCTGCGATCAAAGGAATCCAGTGCAACTTGGGACGTTTCAGATTTATCCGAAAATCCCTTATGCATACAGGTCTAATCGAAACTGAAGCAACAGGTCCATGTGAAACACTTGTCGGTTCGTATGGGCAACAGCATTGATACTGAAGAAAAATATTTTCAAAACTAATGATAAAAAGTCTTGGAGAGTCTTTATATCCGTGATTTTCCTGAATCGCTTATACTCAGCAGATGCAATGGTTCAAAATGTAGCGGATACTCCCATTTCGTCTGTAGTGGTTGACCTAGACCATGATGAGTTAAGAGCTAACTAAAGAGAATGGAACAGTTTTTATTAACAAATTACCATTGATAATAAGCAAGAAGTAAAGTTTGTGAACACTAGTGGTCGATTAGTCTGTTTTTGTTCTTTAGAACTTTTTTGAGTCTCTTCGGTGTCAAACCCACCAACTTTGTTATGAAGTCATTTTCTATGTTGTGCTCTATTACATATCGCACTTTTGCCTCCAAGGTCCAATGCATAGGGAGCACATTGACCTATCTCTTCAAAACAGATAACAGATTTTCAATCACGTTGAGATCCGGGATATTAGGAGGAAGTTGCATGAACTGGACCTCAGAGTCACGCATCTTTTCTGAAGTCTGAGGACAAATAATAAGTGAACCAGACTACTTAACTAAATAAATTTACTAATCTCTCGTGAAACATGACACCGAGCGTTATTCTGAAAAACGATAACTTATCCAGACAATTCTTTTTCATGAAATTCTGGAAAATTTTTCCAAATTATTGATGCAAATTTCGTACTATTCATGGTGGTGATTTAGTTAGATATCAAACATAGATTATTATTATGAAACCTTATTTAATGCCATTTCTCTGGGTTGTGAAAGAATTTCATTTGGTTATTCAATAGCGTTGCTATAATGGATTATACATTAGATAAAATAATGCCTCATTACAAATAAGGGAAATGGCAAGGGTTGACGGAAATAATTTGGGGTAATTCTTGAGTCATTCTTATCAGAAAGTATTGCGTTGTCATACTTGATACAGTTTGCGATTCTCATGTTCAGATCATTTATTCTTGGCACTCAAGGTCAGGCACGTTTGATTGACAATAATGCAGCCTAGAAATAACGTACATCGAAGTAGACAAGATGTAAATCATTGTCCATACCTAAAGCATTAACATGGGTGATAAATATAATGAAAATCCCTTTGATCATAAAGAAAATATTTTAGTGCATCACAATCGGCCAGTACCGTAGGTTGGTTTCACCTTGTGCTCAGTGCTATCGGAGTTCATCCAACGCAGTTTTGAGTTTCCTGAACTGATGCAGATTAAGATCTCGAAGTAACTGTAGAGGAGCTTCATTCAGTTTGTGTTTGTTTTCACTCATTACACACCTTTGTATGATGAACAGCAGACGGGTAAACCCCCGTAGTCACGAGGATCTTTTGTTCAGTCCTGGAAACCAGCAACCTAACCTCCGGGACTTGGAGTGGCGAACCACGCATGGACCGCTTTAAGCGGTCAACAACACAGTTGCCTACCATCAAAGTTGAGTCGCAGTGGCAGGGTCCCAACCCCGAATCCATAGGGTCCAAAGCACGCCGGTGACAGAGAATAAACCACTGCGCTGCATCATCAACTGGGCTTCATCCTCTGCTGGAAGAACTACTTTCATTAGTCCTAGAAGGTTATTCTAAAGAATATTTCTCAGCCTGAAAGCTTCTCTGACCAGCGTTTCTGCTCCAGTTTCCGCCTCGTAACGTCCACATGTGTGACCGCAGCAGTTGTAGGCCATGGTCCACTCGGGCCTAGGTTGTAGTAAACTCAACCTTAAGAAGATTGAAAACGGCGACACATGACAATCGTAATGGAACCATCCTCTGTTGCAGTCTCTCGGAAAAGGCGAGATCACTTCTCAGTTGACTGGTGCGGGTTACATGCACCTAGCTTACGCGTCATGGACGTCGAATGAGCCCCGTCCGTTTTTGAAAGCGATTCAGCAGTTGATAACATCGATTTTTTATTCAGCTGCTTCCATTGCAGAAGGGCTTCAGCGGATGCTCTCGTTGATGAAGTTATGACATTACAGTCAGCATATTAAGGAGCAACCTTTGGGGACTAGATGACTAACCGCTGTCGGATCTCCATCGCACAATCTTTCGAAATGAACTAAAAATTCTGCAAGTCAATTGCACTTGTCACCACCGATTGGTGAGCACTTTCGGTATAACTACCGATCGTATCCAGCGTTGTGTAACGCTTTGACCCTGGAGCCCACAATTCTGGAGCAAGTTGCGCACATGTTCTTGCTGGCGTCACTTTTCTGAGACATTGCGAATGAGATAAATCTGGTCAAGATGCACAAATACTAAGAAGAAGTAATCCGAATACGCCGGCGCGAGAACCTCGGTGTTGTGCAGTCAAGGTTAAAATTCTATGCAAATGTTAACAGTGATCCATTGGAAGATTAATGAGGGGTAAGCGTCGAGATCTTTCCCAAACATCACGCAAGGTCTTCGTTCTGAAGCCAACAACGTTTTTCGCCTCCTACACACCTGTTTCTCTTCATTATGCATGCTTGTTATAGTTCATGAATAGTTCCACTTGTACAATAACCCTAGGATGTATAAACGAAAGGATCCCACTCCTGGTGTACCCAAACTGGTCGGGTGATTCGGGACACCTAAAGACAATAGGATGCTCAAATATTGAATTGCTTACGCAACTGAATGCTCAGATCACCTTGGAAGTGGCCATAGACAGCCTTCCTGAACACCCGTGACAGTTGAACCGTGTTGTACGTTCGCTTCACTGCACTTGTAAGACGTTTTTTTAAGAAGTTAGATGTTACATTGCCTGCAAAATATAGACGGATGAACAGTTTATTTCTGTGTAATGGCCTCTCTTGAAGATTTCAATCGATACACTGTCCGAGATAACCAATACCTAGCGTGACATTAGGAAAACTCAGTAGCAAATAAAGCTTATTTTCGAAAACTTATTCCTCCAGTTTATACTTTTATATGTAAAAAGCATAAAACTATTAGATTAGAGTAATGGTTCTATGACCCAATTTGACCCAGAGACGCAGATTAGAACTGAAACAGCTCATTCAATCTGTCGATTGCGAACGGTTCCAGCCAACATCAAAACAACTCACAAATCTTTGTCCTTTAATTTCTAAACCACAGATGAAGATATTTACAAAACCAGTCAAATTCACTACACCGGACCACCACAATAGTTTGATATTTTTAAAGTTTACATATAATTGTATTAGCCCGAGAAAGAAGTTATAGAAAACAAGTTTTGTTCGAGACGTGAAGATTTGTACATTGTCGCATCCCGGCTAGTTTTATGTGTATTCGATACTCAACAGGACTGATCACCCCATGAGTAATTCTATTAAATTGTTGCACTAAAACAACTGTCTAGACTGCCTGTTTCACTGTTTCAGCCTCCGAACAGGTCCTATCTGAAATTCGCTTCCATTCCGAATTGTCTGTGCTCCGACCGTAGATTGCCATGGTGACTCAATGAAGCATCGAAACGCCCCACTGTCCGGCATCTGTGAGAGAACCCGATAATTGACTCCGGGTCCCGTTTATCCAGTGCATCAAGATGGAAAGAAAACACATGTTAAGAGATGTTAATAGATCGTTCGATATGCTCAGTCGCTGACATAAAACAAACAGGGGCATATAGAAATAGAACGTTGGGTCGGGAAATCCTAACGAATGAACTTGTACAGTTAGACAACAGCTCGTTTATTCGTACTACCTTCCGAACCCAGTTAGTAGACATCCCATGAAATTCAATTAGATTCAGCTTTACAATATGCTAATAATAAAAAATTCGACTTTAACTTCGTATCCCATTTTTTTGTTACCATGATCAGACAATTGGGTTGTCTAGATAGATTATCATACAACAGCCTCTAATCCTTCGTCACATCCCCAAACCCTTCACTACTTCGTTCACAGATCCGTCTGAAAATTGTCACCGGATTCGGCGGTCGTGATGTTGAACTGGACATCCCGATTACGTTGACACACAGACGAACACAACAGGAATTGGTGAAAGCAGAGACCACGAACGATTTAGTCATTGAAAAGTTCAAACGCACCAAAGCGAGACGTCAAGAACAATCCATAGATGATTAGTAGATAAGCACCTCGTTTACCGATCATTTCTTAGACTGTTTGTCGTAGACAGAGGATGGGCCCCGCCCCCCCCCCCAACGATAAAAGTTTTATGGCTTCTAACAGATGTGTAAGTATTACCCAGGCGATAATTTATTCAGTCCTAACATGCACGAGAAAAGCTTGTGTTCACACACACACACACACACACACACACACACGTGATCGGGACCATTGTTTGTTTTATCCCTGTTATATGTAGTTTGCACCATCTTCTGGACTCCAAACGCCTGTCGCACCAACGCATATCGGAGCATCTTATTTTACTCAGTGATACTTCATGTCGATCGGACTATATATTCCATTTATTTATTCGCATGCTTGCATGTGCTTGAATGCAATTCATTGAAAAGACAGTCTGATGAAGTACACCTAACTACAACACGTGGTCGCTTTCCTCTGGATAACTAGTATTGGTCTAGACTGCATACAGCCAGCACTGTACGTGACTCAAGTCGCCGCCAACGGATGTGAGGTAAGAACAGGCCGGTTTGGGTCACGTGATATGAGGAGGGTTCTCGTAATGCTACGACATTGTGTGACTGAATCCTGCAACCATGATTGGTCGTCTTTGCCCAACCCAAACAAGATAGACTCAGTCTGAGATAAATTTCTTCCTAAAACATCATACAGCGATATTTTTCAATAATTGGAAAATCGAGAAGTGTACAAACTAGGATGGTTGGTTTTACGCATTTTTGCTCTTATACCAATTAACGTGTGATGTAAGCGTACAGCCGTTTCAGTCATGGACAATGGAATCTCTTCGTGACTCAGGAAAACATATGCTTAAAAGGTATTCTATGACAGAAAACTGACAAACCTCGTCCGCCAGTCCCGGAAAAATTTGCTGAAAATCATAAACAAATATTTCAAACCAAATTGTCACAAGCATCCACTTCTCGATTTTGAGGACCTGTAGTGTAATCCCCCGAATTGAGAACTGCGGAAGGCATCGAGTAGCACAGACTTGACACTAACCCAAGGAACATCAAAGCTACCTTAACACCAATCGATTCTAGTTCCTCGTGGAAATTTACGGCTTCGGTTATCTACTTGAAAAAATGCTGATTACAATGCACCATCATTCAGAAAATGACTCTGTCGGTGAGTAGTACGTTTTGACTTCGGCGAGCGGTAATGAAAAACGTTATCCCGATGGTAAATCTTAACCTGTTAGGAATCTAACCGAAATCCGATTACGCAACTGGGGAAAATCAAATCTGATCGAAACAGCATATTCCGATTCATGATGTTTCCAGACAAGGATTCAACGGCTGTACAGAAATATTCTCATTTTGATTCAAATGTTACGGTCCAACGAGAAACGGAAATCTCTCAAAAAACATGGCGAGCAAGTACGAAAACCAACTGACTTGACTCGTGATAGACAATGAGCAACAACAACAGCAACAATTTCGTGATGAAGCCCAGCAGGGCATCGTTTCCCATAAAAGTTAAATGCAAGGGAGTGGTTTCCAAGATGTATTGTTGAATTAAGGAGGGGCTGAGCAGTGTTCGGCCACAAACAATTTATTTTTTATAAAGATTATTGTACCAAGATTTGTTCGTCACACAGTCTGGCGTCAGATGTATGTGAAATACAATAATACAAATAATAATAATATTAATATCGATGTTCACTACGAAATGAACGTAAGTAATGCATGCGAATCGTAATGTTAGTGGAAGACAGCGCTTTGTTTATGCCGCACCTATGCACGGACATTTTCGAGTCATTCTAAGGCATGTTGAGATGGCCATAAGAATCCGAGTCCAAGTACATTCGCATTTCTCAAATGCTATTCCATATTATCGGGGAGTGTTACCCGTGAACAGAGAAAAACACCTGTTTTCGAATTTATTTATTTATTTTCATTTTTTCTTTCTCTTTTTTGTGTGTATATCCGGCCTTATTCAGCGTTCACAGATAAACGGATAGCTATTCACATGCTGAAAATGAATTCAAATGATAAGGTTCATTCACTCAGCATCCCCCTCACTTCAACTCGGTGGTTTTATCACGACAACCAGGGTGTTAAATGCGCTCTGAATTAAATAATCTGCCATGATCGAATTGTGTGTGTGTGTTGGGTGGGACAAAGCATTACATATCGTCTGAGGTGATAAACCAGGAATGATGGGAATACAAGAATCAAGTGTATCCGCGGGGAGGGAGAAGAGATTGATATAAACTCAGGAGGCAATCACAGCGGATGGGTCAGATGAAGTATAAACTTGAAATGATTGACTTCGCAAGACAATAACGTGATTAAACTAGAGGAAATGAGACTTTGAACTGAGAAAAAAAGTGGGCTGAAGAACGGGGCAGATAGTAAGCTGCAGCAGTAGAAGAGACAAGTAGTCGGGCGATAGATACGTTTTTCCACCCGCCGTGAGCGAGTGCGATTAGTGATGGAGCATGTGTTCTTCGAATAATTTCAGCTGCCATATTTTGCCCATGTATTGCGCATATTGGTTGATTCCAAGAGTGACCTTGAGCATATGCTGAAATAGGACAAATACAGTTGATCAGAAAGCGATAACCAATTTTGTAGCCATATCGATGAACTGGACAACCAAGACAGAGTACACTTCATTTCGGAGAACTGTTGACCTAGCTAGAACTTG